ATTCTAGTGAAAATGGTAAATCAAAGACGGAAGTCTAGACTGGAGTCTAGACTTCCGTCTGTGATATGCCCCAGATAGACTCTCATCTGAGATCTGTGGTCGAAATGCCAAGCAATTCGTCTCGATGATTTTTATGGCCACAGTGCCTCCAGCTTGTACGCATAAGCATTCGCTGGAAGATTCTGCTAGCTCGGCATAATTTGAGAGGAGGTGAAACGTCACTAATGAGGTATGAAGTGTAGGACATGCAACACAGCATCAACCTGAAAGTGCTGCTGAAGTTTCTCTTTATAGGCGAGATTTTTAACAATGTAATCGAATGTTTTTGTAAGGATAACGGCATGACGTCGAAAGCGAAGATCATATTTCAAACGGCCATCCGGAATTTTCTGCAGCCCAAAAATATGCTTAATTTCTGGTCGTGCTGCTAATATGCGAAAGAATATTTGGATACCAACGTGTTTATCCGCATCACTCTGAAATTTTAGCTTTTCTGAGGGGCCCAGATCATTGGTGCGTTGCTGATCGTTCCTAATATTCCGTCCTGATTTTGAGGGATGCTGCCGGGTGTTAATTGTCTTAGTGCTGACTGTGTATGATCCTAGTTCTTGTTGAATGGAAGGCATCCAAATAGTTCCACTTGGCGAATGGCGAAAAATACTGCATATGAAAGGGGGCAAAACGCTTAATCCAATGACAAGATGTTACAAGTGATTGAGGTGCCACTAGGCGCCAAAATTTGCGCGGTGTCCTGACTTATGACTAGTGTTTGGTAACTCATTGCAAAATGGTACTGTATGACCCTGGATAAAACCGCTTTCTTCTGCGCAACAAACCTAATTCTAGAGTACGAAGAAGCCTTTCAGAATTTTGCAAGACTTATTAAAAAAAGAAATAAAAACTTTAGTAGCTCGCTTCCAACTGTTTTCGATGGCAACTCGCTGTCGCTTTGAAAGCCATGCTTTCCGATCTGCAGTTTCCTGCTTCAGAACATCACCACCACCTAGCGATACATTAGCTACTCGATCTGCTAGATCCTCGGCAGTGACTGCAAGCCCTGATGAGGTGCAGCTGGTCGATGCAGATGTTGGCTGATAACAACCTTCCTCCTCCTCTTCCTCATCTTCTGCCTTTTCCGTCATTAAACTGAATCCTGTCACGTACCACCAACAAATTATCACTTGCTTTCGCCTGAATTCAGCACACGAGTCTTTTAAACTGTCCAGAAACATTTGAAACTTCCGACCGAAATTGTTTAATGACCTGCGCCATACAAAAGTAGTGCTACTTGTTTATATCTTTAGCGTCGCTGAACAACGGCTCACACATGCACAAATACCTCTGGTCTTTAGATCATAGATGCACGGAGAAGAGCCCCGCAATTTTGTCTGGTTCACGAAATTGTTCCCCGTGATAGAAATTTACGTATTTCCTTCTAGTGTTTGTAATTTTTATCTGGATTTGGGAGAGGGGACAAAAGTTTGTATTGGGTTTCTGACATCATAGGCAACTGGATACAACTCGAGGCTCTGTTCCCGAAATTTCGGTTCCCTAGCTTTTGCAGTTCCATAGTTGAAATATTTCCACGGTTGAAATATGCAGTTGGCCAGGCATTTAAAGATAGGAAAGATATCGTCTTGGTGCGTTTTTGCGCTATATCAGATATGCAAAAAATGCATGAAAACGGGAAAGTGTAAGGGACGAGGCGAGTTGCAGCGCACTGTGTGGCCTTGGAATGTAACTGGTGCTGGAAGCAGAGGGCTGGCCGCCTGGCGGATTAGATGATGGATAATAATAGCTAGTCGGTGTATTGCGGAGAGCGCATTGCAAATAGCACCTTCTAAGCAACAGCAATAGCAATCATCTAAATGAAGCTGCAGTAGTGGAATATAATAAAAAACATATTTGAGATGATGAGTGCTCAAACTTTTCCGGATATAAGCTATCATCTAGCACTTG